TGGGACTACGTCCTTTGTGTGCCACACATGTTATGTTACCCGTTACACGCACACCTGTTGTGTAACTCCGTTACAAAAAAGGTATGGGCGAGGGTAGAGTTCGGCATCAAAGACCTGTATATAGGAAGCACGGATCAACGGTGGACAGCAATCAGCAGGTATAGTAATCGATGCATACATATATATATATATATATATATATATATATATATATATATATGCAAATATACGAGCAAATAAGTATTTTTGTGACACGCGCACCTCTTTGTTAAGCTTTGCAACGAGTACTCGCGTACTTGCGATCCAAATTTGGGGCTTTCTTAATCGCGATGTGAAACATGAGGATGCAGATGATTTACACCGTACCATGTAGCGCCGGATCTCGCGTGTCATTGCGACTGATGCACTTCCTAAGCCTTTCTTACAGCAGAGACTATTGGCGAGTTGGTGGCTACGTAGTTCGTCCCCGTCCCATCAATCCACAACATGCGGGTTGTAAAAGATGACACGATTGGAGACTTTGGAGGTGGCGTGTTCAGTGGATCAATTCGGACACTGAACGGAATCGATAAGACCTAGAGCTTGCTGAATCGTATCTCTGTCATTATCGGGAGCTCATCCAAGCTACGCAAATCGGAGACAGCATGATGCACACTTATTATACGCAGCAAGAACATAATCTCGATCTTTATAATTACTTTGATTGGTACCACTCTGACCGAAGAAACGACCGTTAGACTTGTCGGGCGTAACGGAGCGGTTGCTACCAGAAGCTTTACTTTTAGCTGACGTCTGCACCAGTGACAATGGAGGATTTTTCTACGATTACGCTCAGATACGTAGAAGCCATTTCTTTTAGTTCGAGTATCAATTGGCTCACTGGCGTTCTGACTGACCGATACATAAAATAAGGAGAACAAGAAAATGGTGTAGATGTCTTCATGTATGATTGTAGTAGATGGACTAGGAAATCGCAAATGATTTGACACCAAGCCGACGATGTTACGTTTGGTCGCTATCTACCTGCCACTGCGTACGTATAAGTGAGTTAAATGAGCTTGCCGTGAGGCAGCTTCAAGAACTATGCACGCTGCATTTAACTGAACGTTACAAGATAAAGTTAGGAGCAGATAACTTGTCATAAAAGAAGCACCAGGTTAAAAAAGAACGATACGTTTGGACCGAACTGGTGCACAGCTGACCTGGATAGAAGACCGTCGGACTATCATTTCGATAGTTAGCGTCAAAGCAGCAAACAACGTTACATAAATAGAGAGATGCAACAGCTCCAATGCACTCAGCGCTTATCAATTACCCTTCCACAGTTTCTCAATCTCCCACAAGGCAATACTTTGTTGTTTTGATATACTATAAATCAGAGATCACAATACGGAATATAAAACAGATGACCACAACAAATACGAAGACACCACAAATTGTCATACATTTAACAAATGCATCAGACAGCTACGACGATTAAGATGCCGAACAAGGTGGAGAAGGCATCGCACTGACTAATCCAAAAAGCATACATTACTGAGGTATACAATACGATACAATATACACATGCCTGAGATCAGTCACATTCATCCACGAATATCTTCTTCATCCCCTCTCTTAAGTCAGAATGTTCAGCCCAAATCATCTCTCACGTCGACAGACGGTAGGCAAGAAAAAAGGCGGGTGGACGCTACAAGCGTGATGATGCTTGCCTTCAACCTCCGATGCATGTCTTAATCATGAAATTATGATCGACAGTGCACACCTTAGCTGAAGCTACTGTTGCCAGATCTGTCCGTCGCACGTGCTTGAGCGCGTAACAGTAGTGGTGATGGGGTTGACCTCGATCGTGCACTATGGTTGCTGTGAAGACAGACGCAATATTGCCATTTGAATTCTATGAAATATGCCATAAACGAAGTAGCTCGACCCACATCGAACATGCAGCACATATCACTGATACGTCATGATGCTTCATTCTTAACGGTCGCTCTACGTGCGATAACGTTTCGTAATGATGCTCGCGTTGAAGACTTTATGTATCATGTGGAAAACGCACTTGTGTATCAACAACTTTGTCGTGCAAACGAAGTGATCAATGGATACAAGTGGCCAGTTTGACGCCATCACTTCAGCTGTTATTTTGAAAATTACAACAACATCTTTATCGACAGCATCAAAAATATCGATACTGATCCATGTGATGTCTTGAGTGTGAATGTTGAGTCCCATTGTATACACCTGTGGCGCATTTCTTTATGTATGGTTATGTTGTGCACCATGTACTATCTTCATCATAAACCCTTTCAAGTTATACGCCTGAGCCCGTTTAATTATAGATTCGATTACGGGCTTTTTTTGCTGACCGCGCCTGGATAATTTGGGCCTTGATGTGGAAATTGACCCGTATTTGATCAATGGACACCGTTTGATTATTTGTGCTCCCTCTCGCAGCCGCTCTATATCCCCTCTTAACAATTTTAGTTGTCTAATAGAGCAGCATCAAACAGTCCACTTTATAAAATTGATTACACGTTACTACCCTTCACTATTTCCTCGAATTCATTAAACCCATCTATTGCCCATAACAGCAGCATCAAACCTTTGCGCATGACTTTTTTATGCACACGATAGTTAAAGCTCATTTTCTGACCCGCACTTCCAAGTGTTGATCTCCATGTCTGTGGTCTGCACAAATATGTGTGCATAAAATTCCGACGATGATGAAGAAGACAGAAATCCGGCACCTCCGGACAATCGCACGTACGGATACATGGGGCCCACGTATGCAATACTATGGATTAATAGCAAAGGGTCAGACCATGCCGTGCATGATAATCTAGCTAACCGAATGATTTTCTCGAGTCTCGAAGTTTGCCTTGTGGACACATGGTGAAGCCTTCATGCTTTCCGCTATTTGTTTCGCCGCTTAAAGGTGTATACACTTTTCTAACACTCAATCAATAGGCCAGATTATATAGGTCGTCCCGCTTAAGCGGTCTCGTACGTCCTGATAGATTGTCGTACTTTCTCCCATTCGGCCTCTGCACAAATGTCTGTAACGATTATCTACTTCTACCGCTAAGGCAGCCCGGAATGCTACGATCTCATACGTGACTGTGAAGCAGTCGCTTGGCAACAAAGCTCTCCGTAAGTTTGTCTGAAGATGTTCTTCAACAGATATGGACAGTTGGCAATCGCTGAGCCTACCTTTCGACAAGCAAGTTCTTCCGTGCTAAACTTCTACGCGTAGAATATCATCGCCATTTTATTATGCTCTGCACAGCCTGATTCGGAAGACGCATCGCTAATGATACACCAAACAAATTCTGCGTCGCAGTTTCGCCGTGTATTCCGACCTTTGCTAACTTGTTTCCGGTTACATCATTATGTGTATTGACAAGCGAGGCCATCATGGGATAATGGCCTGGAGGCAATGTCGGGGTCAACAACCATGAGATCACGCCAAGGCGAAGCTGTCTATACTTGCGTTTTCATCAGGTCTCCATTCATTGAGGCGAGAAGTCGTCATCGTACCCAATCGAAGACAAGTGATTCCTCGAAGTCAATGAATGAACGAAGGGTGCCGGCCACAAGTAAATGGGCAAGCTAGTAACTTGTTTGACTTTAGCAACAAAACGACCGTCTGCTGTGAACACGCTAACAAAAAAACATCATTGCGCGAGCGCCGATTCCCACCGGATCTCAGCGTTCATTCAAGGTCATCCTAGTGGCTTCTACATCTTGACCGCGAGGACAGCTACATATGGTATGCACTCGAACATTAGCGTACGAGCTCCCAGACAAGAGAGATTCACGATGCGAGTTATGGCAGTCGCGACGTGCATACCGTCGTAAAGTGTCTACAATGTAGCGCTAGTTCCGATGGCATGTCAGTGGCCAGTGCAAGTATACACAAAAAGACGTTTGCTGCTCCTAGACGATACTGCCGAGATGCCGACATGTTTTGCGTCACACGTCTCAGTTGTATTGCGCGCGTCACACGGATCCATGGCACGTCAAAAACTTAGGTCTGGAATTCTACTGAACTTACTGAGAGCACAAACCGTTTTTATTTTGGCTGTATTTCAAAAGACTATAAAAGTAATTGGCCGGTCAATATTTGAAACCGGCGGTGACGAGTCAAAAACGTTCAAAACCACTTTTTTACCAGCAGATCACGGAACCGCACTACGTTCGCGCGACTCGGGACGGCGCCGCGACCCTCTTCTCCAGTATGGCGGAGCGCAAGGCCGTGATCAAGAACGCCGACATGCACGAGGACATGCAGCAGGACGCCGTGGACTGTGCGAGCCAAGCGCTCGAGAAGTACAACATTGAGAAGGACATTGCGGCCTTTATCAAAAAGGAGTTTGACAAGAAGTATAACCCCACGTGGCACTGCATCGTGGGCCGGAACTTTGGCTCGTACGTCACGCACGAGACGAAGCACTTTATCTACTTTTACTTGGGCCAAGTGGCGGTGCTTCTCTTCAAGTCTGGCTGACGACCGAGAAGTGGCCTTCTCTCGCACGAAGAGACGACGCGTCATCGACAGGGGACGACGCACTGCAGGTGGACCCGCTGGTTCTTTCGTTGCGGTCGAGGCGGGGGATATATAGCAATATATAGTGTCACGGTCATAACAGTGTGCTCTTGAGGTATTCGTCTTGTGCTTAGTATTCACTATACGCGGTGTTCTCTGCGCGCTGCACGGGATCGGTACCCACACACTGTACGCTGTTTGCAGTATTTCTATGCTGTCGTATTCTTCGTAGGTGACCGTGCCATCCCCTGATGTCGTAGTGGCAGGCCTGACGATGAAGTGGCATCCCTGATGTTGTCACCGTGCTTCTCTCTATTGTCGCGGTGTCTTTTTGGTACATTTGCCGAGCACGTGACGTTGAGACCCACCCACCCCCGGCACGCGTGTGCAAGACACGTTGCTGATGCCAGGCGGACGATCCAGTAGTCCGTCTGTCGTTCCCTCGATCTTTTGTTCACATGATGCTGCACTTGTCCTGGTCGTGGCCACGTCCTGTAGCAACTGCAGCACCCGAGTGTGCAGTCTCGGCGTGCTGGATAAGTGCAGACACCGTCGGGAAGACGGCGCGACATTGCGGGCACACTTCTCGTTCGGCTCGCGACGCACCAGTCGGCAAAGCTGCTCGAGATTGAGCGACCGAAGCGTTAGTCGAGTCAGACGTGTCGCCATGCGCTTGATCAACGTGTGCAATGAGCAGACTCACGTCGTTGAACTGCTGCTGACATAGGGGACATGGCTCGGACGCTGTGGTCACGGCACTACTGGCTGCACTCTTGACGTTCTGCACGAGCGACGACACTGCCGACTTGGTGCCCTTGACCACAGACGCAGCAGTCTGCTGTACGTTGCGGGGCAGCTGAGGCGTCGCCCCGTGCGTGGCCCTTGTCGAGTAACTCGACAGTGGCGTCTCGAGCCGTCCGAGCCACTGCTGTCGAGCCACTTGTCGCACGCTCGCACACGTATGATCCGTCTCGAACCGGTGCCGCAGACACACGTCCTGCCGACACTTTGGGCACGAAAACTGATTGGACGGGAGCAGCACTTCGCGACAGTCATGCGCAGCACAGCGTCTCTTCTTCTTCGTCTTCTTCGGCTGTTGTGGCTGTTGCTGCTGCAGCTGCTGTTGTTGCTGGAGCTTCTCGCGCGTGCACTGACCGACTCGAACGTGGGTGTCCCACACACTGTTCACGTCTTGCGCTGCCGTCCAGTGGATCAATTGCGAGCAGACGGGACATTGGAAGACGCGGCGGTCGTGACTGCCGGCGCTTGGGCACTGGTGCGCGTCGTAGCTGCGGTGCGCGAGGCAAAAGACGTGGCGGCAGCAGTCGCACGTGAAGGGCAGGAAGTCCTGCTGGTGGCACGTCGCGACGGAGCAATGGGCGCCAATGTCCATAGCAGTGGCGAGGCAAAGGTGGCGCTAGCGGCTGGGCAAGCGGTCGGTGTCGGTCGTGCTGTCGCGTTTGCTACTTATTCTCTTCTTTTCTTTTTATGTTGTCTTCTTTTAATTTCTTAGTTTTTCTTTCTATCGTTTTGTCTCTTCTTTGTTACTTTTTTTATTCTTTATCGGGGAAGAAAAGCGGAGAACGACCGAAAGAAAATACGAGAACCCTGACGACCTGGTGCGACGGACAAAAGGTTCGTACTGCGGGTGACTTGACCTTCTAGATGTGGCGCATCGACCGTGAGCTTTTCGACCGTCTAGACGGGGTCAGGGTGTCGCGTGAGTGAAAACAGCTGCGTCTTTTCCACCAATCCCGACCCCAGTCTCAGGACAATATTATCCACTCATCGTGCCGACTCGGCCACCAGTCACTTGCGTCATGGCGCTCTTCAGGTACGTCGTCGTCCATTGCCTTCCCACATGTCTCACTCTCTCGCCTGTAGCTCTCTCTCTCGCTTTCCCATGCACTAACTCTCCCTTTGTATCATCTCCAGATCCCTCGCTCGCCCATTACGGGCTCTCGCTATGGCCTCACCGACGGCTACACTTCCGTCTCTCCGATCCGCAATGGGAGCTGCCATGTCTCCGTCATTGCGCATATCGTCTCTGCTACTTACGCGCTCGTCCATTGTCTTTCCTCTTCCTGTTCAGTTTCAGTTTGTACGCGCAATGGGCTACAAACTCAAGACAAAATCAGCTGTGAAGAAGCGCTTCAAAGTCAATTGCAATGGCCTCGTCAAGCGCGCACAAGCCAACAAGCGTCACATTGCAACGAAGAAGACGCGCGAGCGCATTCGTCGTCTGGGCAAGTCTGTCTTCGTGCAAGGCCAGATCCGCAAGAACGTGCTTCGGATGCTGGGAAAGTAGCGCCGTTGACATGGCCATCGACGGAGGCGTGCATTGTCAGAAAAAAGGGTTTGCTCGGCTCGGCTTGCACGTTGAGAAAAGGGATATGGATGAACAAGGCTCTGACACTGAGTCGGTTGTTGCTCTCGCGAGGTGGCACTGCAGGATGAGGCTTTTGTTATGTTTGCACGAAGATGGTCAGAACAAAAGGTTGACGACAAAAGAAAGAGTTGGGCAAGGAGAAAAGGAGGATCTCCCCTCGTTGTGTGCGGCCGTGGCCTACTTGACTTGTATGAGACAGGACGCTATGAAGTGTGCGCAGACTCAGCTTCCGTTTCGAATGCTACTGCTGACAGCATCGCGACGCACAGTGTAATGGGAACAGAAGAGGTCAATGGAAAGGTTGCGACGAACGTTGCAGTGCTATGAGCTGGTCCTGATGCCAAGATAGATGTGGCTGGCGATAATCATAGATTGTGACGCTTTTCTAGCCGTCTGTGTCACCTCAATGTAGTAGCGATGTCACGGATGATGCATGCAGATCATAGGAGTATCGTTTATGGATGTCGAATCAAACAGGATGTTGCGATGTTCATGGTAGACCCAGCTGATACGTTGCAAGCGGAGGAACGAATCAAAAGACGAATGCATCTGTGTTGCGCCGGAGATGTTGCTTCGCGCGTCAAGCGGCAAATATACACTGGTGACATCTTTCTGTAGACGGATTGTCATCGGTTTGAGAACACTGCTCGTCGCTTGAAAGGACATCGAGCTGAGTACTTCATAGCCTCGGCTGCGAAACTAAGGGATCAGACGAATGCAAACATTACCAAATGCACATAATTCATGTTAACAAATACCTTTTCGCCCCACAAACTATCAAATGCAAATTTACGACAATGCGACACAAGGAGCGGAAGTGAACGTCAGATGCTAAAACCACCATGCAGGGTGGCGGCGACTGATGTTTGTGAAAGCGCACGTTATCAATTTCCGGTTTGCACGACGTAGAGATACGAAGTGCCACAATTGCAGCTGGGTAATGTAACGGCCAGGACGTCGTCTGCACTAAACCTGGAAATGGTGCTAGCGGTCACGAACATGCCGTAATTCGAACCAGTGCTCGAATAAATGCACGCCTGGTTCTTCATCACCGAGACCGAAACAGATGAATTCCCATACGCGTCTGCAATAAGATTCACCGTAGCAGTAATGCTGTAAACGCCAGGTCGTCGAAACGACACGTCACCAGTTCGTTGATTCACGGAAAAACTGTCCGAATCGGTATCACTCCACAGCATTTTATAAGTATTGAGGTCTGTCGCTGATGCTTCGAGTTGCATGTGCCCGTCGCCAATCTGTTTCCGGAGCCGGTCTAGTTCCTCCTGCTGATCACGCAGCTTGGATTCCAGCACATCAATTCGTTCCACTGCTACTGCGTCCAGGACAAACGCGTACTTTGCCACTCTCACCGAGCGAAGGATTCGGACTTTGACACTAATTACCAGTTTGGGAGCATCTCCACTCAGCACATCAAATGTTCGCTGGACATCGCCCGACTCGTCCAGGTCACCTTCTAGTGCGTCCTGGAAGAACTGCAATGGACACTGTGGGCTCTACGTCATTTGCAATGACACGTGCAGCAAAGCGTACCTTCACGTAGTCTATCGCAGATGCATCCGAGATTGTGTTATCTGATGTCAAGTAGTCCGCTTTGGTCATCCCGCTCTTGCTCCTAGCAACAAATCCACGACCAAGATATGAACAAGATGCTCGACCACTGACTTCGTACCACTAACTTCGTACCACTGCTTCTTGCTGGTTCGATCCTCCATCCAAATACTCAATTTGTCGCTTTTCAGCTGGAGGACGTAGCGATAAGATGTCGCGGGCGACGTCGAAAATGTCGTTACTCCCTCCACTTCGGTGTCTGGACTCGGCACCATGACACAGGTTCAATGGCGCAGATGGGCGAGCTTTCTGGCAAGTTCGCTTCACCGAGCAAATTGGTTTGTCTTCGAAACGGGCGTTGGATATCTTCACAAACGTTAGTCTTCGCGGTAGATCTTTCTTGATTATGAGACAGGGTTGTACGAGTCCTGTCTCGTCGACGGAACAACGGTTTCGGTACGTATAGTACGTAAGGCTTTCCAGTTGAGGTTCATTTGGCAAGTCTTCGTTGCTCTCAACAAAAGCTCCTGCTCTTTATCGCAGCACAAGACCAAGAAGCCTCTGTATCGCCAGCGAAGCTGTGTGGTATAGTGGTCCATATCTATAGCCTGTACCATTTTCCGATCTTTGTCACACAGCTACTTCCCACCCCATACTTCTGAACGATGTAAAGTTAAGACCATAGATGGCTGGAGAATGCTACGAGCTTCGTTTCTAAGGTCTCGGAATTTGATTTGGTTTCCACGAAGTTAAAGGACCCTAAAGATCGGAGAATTTATAAATATTGGCTCGCGGCTAGCCACATTCGGCCGCCCCAACATTCCCCGCGTAGACTTATTTTTCCTTATATTTTGAAACTGCTCACATGCTGCTCAATGTAAAGTAGACAAATCAGCGTAAAAGAATAAGTTTTTGCAGGCAAAAAGTGCAAAAATGGCTGTCGTCACCCTAAATGCACACTTTTGCCTGTTTGGTCCTCTATTTACAATAAAAAGACTCAGACGATTATCTTAAATTATCGAAACCCATCACGTTTTGCCAAAACTGTTGCAAGCACAGAAATTGGTAGCAGCTAAAACGTTTACGCACGTAAGTATTATATATGTACATAACGATGCGACCTATACTTCTTTACTGCATATTCAACGGCCTTCCTAGTCAGGATCTTGCGATATACGTCTTTGTAACAAAAAGCACATTCAAGCATGGCGGCGGATGGTAGTGAAAGAGACGGATGCAATGGATTTTATGACCACCTTCTCGAGGCCTTTGAACGTGCAGTCGCAATTTTTCGAGCATAGCATTTTTGACTAATCCCGAAACATCCTTATGAAGGTCAGATCGCAATGGAACCTAGGGTGAATGATGTCGTGGCCGGCCGTAATGACATTCTTTTCCAAAAGCCCTTTTTGTCCCTTGATATCACATCGATTTTGGATGACACGGCGGGCGCAGCAAAAGCCCTCATAATCTGCAAGTGCCGTAGCCATTTGTTGGGGCGCGGCATGTTTATGATTGTTGACTGGTGAGTACATTGGTTGGTGTCAGAAACGTGCAAAAGTCGTGCGTATAGTGCGCAGTGCGACGGGATCGTTAAAAAAAAGCTTACAGCTGCGGAAACGGCGGCAGAAATATTTATTTTCGTTTTCAAACTTGGCCGACGAAATAATAGCTACAGGGTATAGTGGTGCGCACCATCGCATGTTTATAAAGGTGCACTGTGTTATATAAATAAAAATATACAGGAGCTAGTTACGAGACACTATCCATTTTTCGTGCGGTGGCCAATTGATTTTATTAGGTCATTATTTACTCTTTGTGCAATTTGTCCAACAGTTGCGTGAATGTGAAGTATCGCGAATTTGATTTTACTTCACTACATCATTGCAAATATAGCAGCAAATGGAGAATCAGCACACCGTAGGATATCGTTGCGGTCCCCTTATCCGTACGCGCTTGTTACTGCGACATTGAAAGGATCCTCGAGTATGCTGAGGGCTTCGCAGTTTATGCGGTGCCAAATCTGCTCAACAGCGATATCGTTCGTAACGAGAACAATCACGACATTTTGACGCAAAGGAAACGCAAGCAAATTCGTCGTTTAGGCTGCATCGTGTGGACCCAATTTGCAAAGTGTGCATATTCCTACTCCTGTTGAGCCCACACTGTCGCTAATGTGTGAAACGTACTTGACTGCTAAAAATGGTGTGTCTGTTCCAGTATGATTCGTTAATATTAGTTTACGATCTGATCTATGACGACAGAATGAAATAGAAGTAAGCGTTGCATAAAAATACGCTAGCACCGAAGTTGTTACAACAGGGCGCTGATCAAGTAAAATTTACCACGATTATTTCCGCTACATCGCATTTTCCCCGGTCAAAATAAGAACTGATGACATGCGAATTTCGACTAGTTCACATCGCGTCTTTTAGTCCTTCTCCCTTGTCGGTAGCTCTGGTGCTGTGTCATAGCTCGTAGACGTGTCGCCATCGTGTCATAAAACCTGAGTTGCTTAATCTCATCTGTTTTTTCTCCGGGGAGACGATGCCTCATCATACCTTCTCGGCCTCTTGGCTAATATCAAGTGTAGTATCTATTCTAATCAGTGCGAAGACTGGTTTTCGCCTTTTGGCGGACTTTTTCACATTCATTTTTGGGCAAGCGCGGCAGTTTGCTGCGCAGGTCTCTGGGGCTTTCACCTTACCCCCGCGAGGCCGACAACGATATATACTCAGTACACTTTACCTTTTCTACTTGTGCTCGATCGACTTGTCAAACCAAAAGCTAGAATTGGATGCCTAAAGTGATACTACAACTCCTGATATCACGTCAAAGCGATGTTTATATGAATTGTGATTGTTTTAGACAGACGTTACAAATAGAGACACAGAAGTTTAGGGATTAAACAGGACACATTATATTGAGCATATCGGAATGTTGGCCCAAAGAAGCCTTCCTGTCGTTGTCTGTACCCGTCTGAAATTATAATTGTATCTTTAGCATGCTTTAAGAGCCGCGTTCTTTTCGCTCGAATGCGGTAAATGACGGCTACAAATACGCTTCGGTATCGTCTAGACTAGCCTACGTATGTGTATGACCATACTCGCAAGAAGGTGATTCATGTATATAAGTATTAGAGCAAATAAAACTATTTGCATGGATTTCTAGTGTAGGAAAAGGGTTTGACCGGCACATGCAAAATTTGAGATGTGTAGTAAATGTAGAGAGCGCTAAGTCACATATGTTAGGCCCGTTGCTCGCGAGGTTCTTCGTCAAGAAAGAGTTCAGTGTTGGTCCAAAAGGTATTTAAAATCCAACAACTGTAACAAATAGTAACAGTTGGTTAGGAGTTGTGTCTTCTTGATATTGTGCTGGCGTGTATTGAGTCGTATGTAACTCGTTCGGTGAAGGTGAATGTTGAGGACTGATATCTTCTTTTGACGATTGTGTTGTCATCCCCATGACGCATGGTCGCAAAACCAAATCAGATACCACGTTGATTGATCCTGATTACAGGTATATGTGCTTGGTGAGAGTAGACAATGTGCCAATCTCGATGTCCGGCCTCACTGTTGCTACGGCAGTGATGTCGTACATGATGCACATAAATCACGAGTGTTGTTTCCTTGAAGAGACCGATGCGAACGACGTGCTGATCTTGCTCTCTGGTTATGCGATTTAACATACGATGATGTATGCTAAAGCGCGGTAAATAAACAGGATGTATCTCGAGCGATACGACAAGCCTTGCGTGTTTCGAAAACGCCTACAAATTTCAATTCAGAAACGTCGATGTCAACACAGTGCCACCTCTGAACCCGCTGGTCATGCCAAAATCGCTCTGGTATCAAGATCGCGTTCGTCTTCAGTAAGGAATAGAATGCCGTGTTGTAGCGGATCTAGACAGCTCCTTGAGTCAGAGGAAGGCTTTAACGCTCAATGAGCAACTATAGATTAAAGAAATCGACTCGGACCGTCAACAAGCTCGAGGCGCTTACGGTCCTTGTTATGGGGGGCGAAATGATCCAAAAAATCTATTCATCGAGTGTATAAGAGTAGCTGAATTTTACAAGGCGTTGATAGAATCGTCTACGACCACAAGACGCGCTAGGGGGCACTTGTCGTTACGAATTAAAAGGAGAACTGGACTTCGTTTGTTTTTATCTAAGGTACACCTCAAACTAACACACTTTGATTTCGATACTAATGTTATAATTATACCTCATCAAGAATCTCGTATTTCGGTGGCCTACACACTTTATCCCCCAACAATTGATATGGTGTTTCAACATCATCTTTAATGGGAATCCGTCCCTAGTGTAAACCACACGTGTTGTGCAACCCCGTTACACGTGTACTGTTATGTGATGCGTTTTTTCACGATAACATGAAAACGAGACCATGTTTTGGAACACATTGTTAAGGTAGAAACCGTCGCCTGTATTTGTGCGAAGTATACCAAGTGATTTGACACGTGTTCAAGACGGAAAATATAGTTGTATGTAACTGGGTGATGTGGTAGTAGTTGATCGCTCACATGAGACTAAGAAATGGTGCAAGTGGTCAGGTTGTGATAGAATAGTACTAAGCAGTGGTCGTATGAGTGCGGCTCGAGATCTCCACCACAATGTCATTCTGATTGAAACGAAACCTCATTACTGCAGCAATGATATGTACTAGTTTGATAGAGTTACCTATCTGATCGTCAATTCGATTGATCGATCTGTCGTTTTTCTCAACTAATCTTGACGGAGTACCTGGACTTATACTATAAAATGTCAGCTAACCTCCACCAATGATAGCGCAGGCAGATGCCGTTATAGCTCACATCAACGGCTCTGAGCAGGTGCACGATAGCTAAAACAGGCACGCTCTGTTGTGCGAAAGCGTAATTGTGTCACGATCATCCAATACTTCTCACTTTTTGTTTATCTTGCTCACTCAGCTAGTTTTATTATAGCATACATGATGGATATCGCTTGCTACTTGTCGTGCGCGTCTATCCCTCATATGACGCCCTGTTAGCTTACCTTTTACCTAAATCTGCCATTGAGCAAATGTATAAAACACTGTCGGATTTGACTATATTCCCAATTGACATCAAATGTGATGACATTCTCACGTATCAAACTCACACCGTTACACATAATCGTACATTTATTATTCTCAAAACAGTTGGCTGTAATATCACGCTGGACGGTGTGGTCGCATACTTAGGGAGGCTAAAAAATACTCTTAGTTTAGCTTTGGTCGCGTTTGCACTGGGTTTTAG